AACAACAATTCACAATCAGAAAGTACAACTAGAGGAAAAAATCAGGAGGGAATATAAAGACGTTACAACAATACTCCCAGCTCAACTAATTCATGCTGGTTAGAATAAAGACATGCTCCTTAATTTATGTATAATTTTAGAGTGATTTTTCAGAGGGCTAGGCGGATAAGCTACCGAAGTAGAGACAGGAGAAATCTTGCAGTACATTCAAGTATAATGGGTTTTTGGCCTGCATTAATAGGAGCATAGTGTCTAGGTCCAGGGAAGTAATGCTACCCCTCTATTCTGCTTTGGTTAGACCACACCTGGAATTGTTGTTGTTCATTCGTTCAGTCGTCTCTGACTCTTCGTGACCTCATGGACCAGCCCACGCCAGAGCTCCCTGTCGGCCGTCACCAGCCCCAGCTCCTTCAAGGTCAGTCCAGTCACTTCAAGGATGCCATCCATCCATCTTGCCCTTGGTCGGCCCCTCTTCCTTTTGCCTTCCACTTTCCCCAGCATAATTGTCTTCTCTAGGCTTTGCTGTCTCCTCATGATGTGGCCAAAGTACTTCAACTTTGTCTCTAGTATCCTTCCCTCCAATGAGCAGTCGGGCTTTATTTCCTGGAGGATGGACTGGTTGGATCTTCTCGCAGTCCAAGGCACTCTCAGAACTTTCCTCCAACACCACAGTTCAAAAGCATCGATCTTGCTTCGCTCAGCCTTCCCTAAGGTCCAGCTCTCACATCCGTAGGTTACTACCTGGAATATTGTGTCCAATTCTGGGCACCACAATTGAAGAGAGAAATTGACAAGATGGAATGTGTCCAGAGGAGGGCAACTAAAATGATCAAGGGTCTGAAGAACAAGACCTATGAGGAACGGCTTAAGGAGCGGGGCATGTTTAGCCTGAAGAAGAGAAGGCTGAGAGAAGATATGATAGCCATGTATAAATATGTGAGAGGAAGCCACAGGGAGGAGGGAGCAAGCTTGTTTTCTGTTGCCCTGAAGATTAGGACGAGGAACAATGGCTTCAAACTACAAGAAAGGAGATTCCATCTGAACATGAGGAAGAACTTCCTGACTGTGAGAGCCGTTCAGCAGTGGAACTCTCTGCCCCAGAGTGTGGTGGAGGCTCCTTCTTTGGAAGCTTTTAAACAGAGGCTGGATGGCCATCTGTCAGGGGTGATTTGAATGCAATATTCCTTCTTCTTGGCAGGGGGTTGAACTGGATGGCCCATGAGGTCTCTTCCAACTCTTTGATTCTATGATTCTATGATAAAGGGTTCAATTTGGCATGTCCTTTCATGGACGACAGTCCAGATCATCAGCAACACAGCAGGAAGAAAAGTCAAATAAAACTTCCTAGTCTTTCAACTACCAGAACATTATTTAACGTAAGGATAGTTTCTCTCATTCTTTCAGTCTTTCAAGTACTAGAACATTATTTAAGGATGGTTTCTCTCATTCTTTCAGTCTTTCCTCGCTATTACTAACATGCATCACTGTCAAGGCAGGGGAACACTCTGACACAAATATATGACAGCAGCCTGTATAAGCTCTTTCTCATTCATGCATGCTTCAGTAGATCAATATATGCGAGATAATATGATACCTCTCCCTTATGACATGTCTCCCTTGATGGCACAATCAAAAGTGAAACCAACCATAGATGTCTATAACTGCAGACTTCTCATCTTAATATAATAACAGAATTAAGCCTTAGACAGGGAATGGCTCAACTATCGCAACTCAGAGTACGGGAACAAAAGAGACAAAAGTCTTCCTCTAACATGGCTTTCAAAAATATGATTTGGGGGTGGGGGTGGTGGTAAATATATGGGCAAAGTCTCTTAATCATCATTCCAAAAGAAAATATACTTAATCATTGTTTTCCAACTGTCTCATTTACTCTAGAAAGAAAGGCTTAAGAAGTGTGTGAATGTGTGTGTGTGTTCTCAAATGCAAGTACAGGTTTGATATGAAGAAGTCAAAGAGGCTTCACCTGCTGAATTTCTGACTACACATTGCTCTGATTATGTCACTCATTTCTTCTAGGAATCTAATAATAATAATAATAATAATAATAATAATAATAATGTTCCAGAAACATTCTCTCCTGACATTTCACCCATATCTATGGCAAGCATCCTCAGAGGTTGTGAGGTCTCACAATCTCTGAGGATTCCTGCCATAGATGTGGGCGAAACGTCTGGAGAGAATGCTTCTGGAACATGGCCACACAGCCTGGAAAACTCACAGAAATCGAGTGATTCTGGCCATGAAAGTCTTCGACAACACCACAATAATAGTATTTGTTATCTGCCTTTCCTCTCAGCTTGAAGCAGGGTGCAACATGGTTATTAAAATACATAAATAAAATATACGACCATTAAAAATATATAACTTAAAAGACAAAGGGATTAAAACACATTCAAATCATGCCAATCCCTACACAACCTGTTGTTATTTGTGTGTGCCTTCAAATTGATTTATGGCTATCCTAATACAAAGCTGCCTTAGAGTATTCTTGGCAAGAATAGTTCAGAAAAGGTTTGTCCTTGCCATCCTCAGAGGCTGAAAGAGTGTGACTTGCTCCGGTTCACCCAGTGAATAAAGGCAGTTTTATGCTTTTTTAGGGTTTATGGCTCCATTTTATGGAGTCATGTGAGTTACAGTTTTAGAAGGTCCTTTAGCCTTCCTCTGTCAGAAAGGGCTGGTGCCCCACCAAACTATAAATCCCACAGCATTGAGGCAAGACAGTTAAAGTGGGGTGAAACCACATGAATTCTAGAGTGGAGTAGATGCTCCCTTGCTGTTCCATACACTTGGATTTCTTACCCTGAATATCTGTAGACAGTTCTTTCCTTTGTTTCCTTTCAGTTAAAAACTTCCTCCCCACAACGCTTTTGCAATGTAAATGTAATCCTTGTTTATGCGGACTGGACAGCTTGATTTGCATGATATTGTATTCTTTTGTAATGTAACACAGAGTTAAAGACCTCTCTCTTTCAGCAGGCCTATCTTGTCAATTTTAAACTATATGTACATTTGATTGGTATCCAAGATTTTAATGTGTTTTAATTTATTTATTTTAATGGTCTTATATTTCATTTATGTATCTTTTAATGGTGTTGCATGCTCTCTCAAGCAACGAGGAAAGGCAAGCAACAAATAACATGTATTATTGTTATTATATTTATGTAGCACCATCAAACAGACACAATGCTTTACAGTAAACAACTAAAATAGTGGGTCCTGCTGAAGGATAATTCGTTTTACAATTGTCTCACAAAATATTCCATACCCATTTTGTCACATGCTGTCTTGACATCATGTCCTCACCATAAACTGAAACTATGCCCTTAGCATTTAGGTAGCGTATTACAGCACAAACTTCGCATTTGGAGGGAAACGGAATTGAGGATGCTCATCTCTAATCTTCACCACAACGCCAGTCAGTGACCTACTGACAAATGGCACTGCACGTCCGCTTTCACTGACTTCCTGCTACACAGCGGTGATACCAACTTCCCCCGTGAAAATTCCCAGTGAGAGCTACATGCCTTGTAACTTTACTTTCTGGATAACCCTTGTATTATAGCTAGTATAATGATAATTCTTATTATGCATCAAGTAGTGCCAGAACTCAGTCTGTTCAGCGCCTTCCAAGTCGTCTAGTTTTCTGTGTGCCCAGGAGGGAGTCTCTCATTTGGTATCAGCCATGGATTGAGGTTCTGGGTTTTAGCCTGCCACTTTTGGACTCTCGCTTGCTGAGGTGTTCCAGCGAGTGTCTCTGCAGATCTTAGAAAACTATTTCTTGATTTAAGTAGTTGGCGTGCTGGGCCAGAGACATCAACCTTAATAAATGGGGCTACAATGTGGAGTTCATGACATGCAAGTGTGCAGAAGAGCAAACCACAGACCACCTACTGCAATGCAACCTGAGCCCTGCCACATGCACAATGGAGGACCTTCTGACAGCAACACCAGAGGCACTCCATAGGTATCGTACTATGCTAATAATTTAATATATTGTGTCTATATACATCTTGTAAGCCTCTCTGAGTCCCCTTCGGGGTGAGAAGGGAGGCATATAAATGTCGTAAATAAAATAAATAAATAAATAAATAAATAAAGGACATTTAATAAATTGCCAAGCTTGCAAACTTTGCATGTCTTTTTTAATGCAATATAACTGTTTGGTGCACTCCTGACACGATAAATCTATATAAATAAAAATGTAATGTTTGTTTGTTGGGTTAACATAACTCAAAAACCACTGGGTGAATTGACACCAAATTTGGACACAATACACCTATCAAGCCAACGAGTGATCATTACTCATAAAAACACTGAAAAACACAGCGGAAGGTACTTAAAAAGCAAAAAAAAAAATACAAAACCACATATATACACACAGATACACACAAAACACATATAAAAAGACTGGGCCACAGCAACATATGGCAGGGGATGGCTAGTAAAAAAATAAAATTCTTATTATCATAACTATAATGCACATTGAAGGCATAGCAAATAAAGTATAATTATTACCATGGCTATTAAAACAATAACAATACTTATTGCAACTTTAATCACAACATTGACTTATAGCTTTCATTAACAATAACAATTCTTACTATGACTATCATAACTATAAAAATAGTCATTATTACAACTAGTATAACATTACAATAGTAATTGCAGTATTACAATTATAATATCATTATAGCTACTGTAACAATAACTATCTTTATAATAATATTAATAATTCCCTTAAAAGGTCCCACTTGAGACTTCTGGAAATGGGGAGAGACATCACTCTCTCCATTTTCCAGAATCCTGCCCATTAATTGAACGGCCTCCTCTGATTGGCCTTTCTGTAAGTCACTCAGCGTGGGGGGCGGGCTCTCCGCTTGGCCACGCCCCTCCCCTTGGGGCCTAGTCTCCCCTTCGGACCCTCAGAGCAGCGGCCTGTCCTAAAGGCCCAGGCCCGTGACTACCCGGTAAAGACATACCTCGCCTCCCGTTGCCATCCGGCGCCGGCCTCCGGAGGGCCATGGTTTCCGGGAACCGCCGAGGAGCATGCCTTTCCCTCTTCTCCTCTCAGCCGTCCGGCCCTCAGTTAGTTAGCCCCGCCCCTTTTCGCTTCTTCGCCTGGCCCCGCCCACACACGTCACCGGAGAGGAGTAAACAGCCGCTCACGCTTGGCCGCCAGTGCGCATGCGCCTGAAAAATACCCGCCTCTGTTCTAGCTGGGTGGGGTTTGGGCGCCATAGAGGAAAGTTTAGAGTGAGCATAGAATCAAAACTTCCGGGTAGCGTGATAAAATCTATATAAATAAAAAAGTAATGTGGACAATTTCAACAGAAAGGAGGAAACCATGAAAATGAACAAAATCTGGCTACCAGTATTAAAAAAACTCTAAAATTACAACAGCACAACAACAGAGAGGAAACAAACAAGGACATCTAATCATCTCTCAACAAAAGATTGCTCCAGGCACTGACAGGCTATCAAATGTTAATCAAGGTGGTCAGTTGAAACATTCACAAACAACATAACACCTCTCAACAGGGTATTTTCCCAGGCTCAGCCAAGCCTTCAAATGCTAATGAAGGTGATCAGTTGAAACATTCACACCTAGCTCCAGCAGAGAAGAGCTCCTTGCCCCACCCCAGCCATTCCACAGATATATAAACCCATTGTCCTAATTCCAAGAGACCTCACTACCTCTGAGGATGCTTGCCATAGATGCAGGCGAAACGTCAGGAGAAATGCCTCTAGAACATGGGCATACAGCCCGAAAAAAACCTACAACAACCCACACAAACAACCACCATGTCAGACTACACAGAGAAGCCATTGAAATCCACAAGCATGTGGACAATTTCAACAGAAAGGAAGAGACCATGAAAATGAACAAAATCTGGCTATCAGTATTAAAATACAGTATTAAAATACAGCACAACAACAGAGCGGAAACAACTAGGAACATCTTAACACCTCTCAACCAAAGATTTTCCCAGGCTCAGCCAGGCCTTCAAATGCTAATGAAGGTGGTCAGTTGAAACATTCACACCCAGCTCCAGCAGAGAAGAGCTCTTTGCCCCACCCCAGCCATTCCCGCAAGAAACTAAAGACGTGGCTGTTCGAGAAGGCGTTCGAACAAGAAGTGCAATAATTGGTAATGACGACAGGAATGGAACAACGGAAAATGATATTGGATTGTGGTTTAACGATGAGACGACGCGAATGACTTTTTGTATTTTTGTATTATTGATATTGAGATTGTTGATGTTGTTGATGACGATGTTTTTGATATTGCTAGTTGTTGTTAGATTATGTCTTGTAATTTGCACCTTATCCTCTCCATGTTGTACACCGCTGTGAGTCGCCCCTGGGCTGAGAACAGCGGTCTATAAGCACAGTAAATAAATAAATAAATAAATTGCACAGATATATAAACCCATTGTCCTAATTCCAACAGACCTCACTACCTCTGATGATGCTTGCCATAGATGCAGGTGAAACATCAGGAGAAATGCCTCTAGAACATGGCCCTATAGCCCGAAAAAACCCACAAGAACCTAGTGATTCCAGCCATGAAAGCCTTCCACAATACAAAGTAATGTTCGTTTGTGGGATTAACATAACTCAAAAACCACTGGAGGAATTGACACCAAGTTTGGACACCACACACCTAACAGTCCAACGAGTGTCCATCACCCGTAAACACACACATACACACAACCGTAGCGGAACAGACTTAAAAAAACCCAAAATACACAATATACATATACACATACACTCATATGCACATGCACACATTCAATTCATACACACACACGTATATATATATATATGCACAAACACACACAAATATACACACATACATATACACATACATATATACATAGACACATGCACACATTCATACACACACGTATATATATATGCACAAACACACATAAATATATACACATACATATACACATGCACACATACATATATACATAGACACATGCGCACATTCATACACACACACGTATATATATATATATATATATGCACAAACACACACAAATATACACACATATATATACACATGCACACATACATATATACATAGACACATGCACACACATATACAAACACACGAATATGCATATGTGTGGTGGAGGCTCCTTCTTTGGAAGCTTTTAAACAGAGGCTGGATGGCCATCTGTCAGGGGTGCTTTGAATGCAATATTCCTGCTTCTTGGCAGAACGGGGTTGGACTGGATGGCCCATGAGGTCTCTTCCAACTCTTTGATTCTATGATTCTATATAGATAAGCACGCACATATACACAATATGCATGTACACATATAAACACACAAATACATAAATATATACACACATATATACATACATACACATGCACAGACATATTCATATACACATACATACATATACACACAAATATGCATGTAGACAAGCACACACATATACACAATATGCAAGTACACATATAAACACAAAAATACATAAATATACACACACATATATACATACATACACATGCACAGACATATTCATATACACATACATACATATACACACAAATATGCATGTAGACAAGCACACACATATACACAATATGCAAGTACACATATAAACACAAAAATACAGAAATATATACACACATATATACATACATACACATGCACAGGCATATTCATATGCACATACATACACACATATGCACACAAATATGCATGTAGACAAGCACACACATATACACAATATGCATGTTCACATATAAACACACAAATACAGAAATATACACACACACATATACATACATACACATGCACATACATATTCATATACACATACATACACACATATACACACAAATATGCATGTAGACAAGCACACACATATACACAATATGCATGTACACATATAAACACACAAATACAGAAATATACGCACACACACACATATATATATACATATACACACACAAACACACATATATACACACACATAAACACATATAAACACACACAAAACACATATACACAGACTGGGCCACAGCAACGCGTGGCAGGGGACGACTAGTTCTAGAATAACAAGAGTTGGAAGAGACTCCATGGGCCATCTAATCCAACTTCCAGCCAAGCAGGAAAAGCACAATCAAAGCATCCCTGACAGATGGCCATTCAGCTTCTATTTAAAAATTTCTGAGGAAGGAGCTTCCACCAGTCTCTGAAGCAGTGAGTTCCACTGCTGAACAGCTCTCTTTATGGTCAGGAAGTTCTTCCTAATGTTCAGGTGGAATCTCTTCTCCTGTAATCTGAACCCATGGCTCCATTGATTCCTAGTCTCCAGGGCAGCAGAAAGGAAGCCTTCTTCCTCTTCCTAGTGACATCCTTTCACATGGCTCTCATGTCTCCTCTCAGTCTTCTCTTCTGCAGGCTAAAAAGACTCAGATCTTTAGGGCACTCTTTATGGTGTTGCCAAACATGACCCCCCCCCCCCCCCAATAAAAGGTTATGATCAGGGAATTCATAGTTTTGCCAAGGACACCAGGCTGGAATGCAATGATTCTTAAACAAAAGGATACCAATACCTTTTGTCTGAGACTAGCAAAAGGGGAAATGCCAAGTAAATAATAATTTATTTATAAATAATATTTTATATATATAGTATTTATAAATAATATTTTATATATATTTTATTTGATAAATAATATTCCACCTCGGACATCAGAAGAGCTGCAAGACCGAGAACAAGCCACGAGAGTAAAGATGAAGATCCACCCAGAGGGAAAGTGTTCTTGCCAGACATCTAGGGAACCACTGACCTAGAGGGAAGCTGATGAGGAAACACAACATACAAACTATCTACAGACCCACCAGGAAAATCCAAGAAATGCTACGTTCAGCAAAGGACAAGAGGGATCCTCTCACCTCTGCAGGAGTCTACTGTATACCATGCAGCTGTGGACAAGTCTACATGTCGTCGAGGGCATCCCAGACCCCTGCCTTCAAGCTGATCTGGCCAGCTGCAGGGAGTTCCGCAGTTTCTGAATGCCAAGTTGGGCCAAAACTGATGTAATGTGCCTCAGCAGCAGCCTCAACCAGGAACTCTTTGCAGCTGAGTGCTCTCTCCTTTCACTCCTTTTCCCAGCCCAAACTATGTAACCAATCCCCCAATAAAGACTGATCAAATTGTAACTTTAACCTCTCCGGACTGATACTTTGTGTCTCTTTCTTGTCTGAAACTATCTATCTTTTCTGGGCCGCGGGAGACCACAGGCCTGCCTGGGATGCCTTCCTGGCGTCCCAGGGAGGCCGAATCTGCGTTCCTTCAAACCGCGGATATGGAAACCCCTCGGACCCCCTAATCTGCGAGTTGACGGATCGACTCCATTTTGGTGCCATATTTTTCCTAGATAAATTCGAACACTATGTGCTATCTTGCTTTTTGCATTTTGGGCCTCTACGCTCGGGGAATAACCTTCTGAATTTTAAGAATATAATTTCAAGGAAACAGCTGATTGTCAAAATCCAAGCCTCACTGCTGCCACGCTGCTACTACTCTCACTGCTTCTTCATTCTTTTGAAGCCCCCTGCCCCAGATACTTGGTGCGGTTACCCCATTAAGCTTTCAGGGAGCAGTCTAGTCAGCAGGCTTCAGTCCTTGGAAGGAGCTATAGTTTTCCAAGGACCAGCTTAAATCTCGGTGCTGCAGGACTCCATTTTTTGGCTCAGTGGAAATGACCAGACTCCTTTTTGTGCCTTTGGACTTTCTGCCGCATACTTTGGACTTCATTTTCCTTCAAGAACTTGTTTCCACCCGTGAATTTCCCCTGAATGGACTATGAACTTTTATTATGCTACGATTAAAAACTTTTTTCAATTGCTCTGGGGGGAAGGGGGGGATGCCTGGATATGATTTTTTTTTTGTGATTCCTATATTTCCACATATATTTCCCCTCATGTTTCTGACTTTGCCCTGACCCTTTTACCCCCTTCCCCTCTCCTTGGGGAAAATCTATAAGGAAGTTGCCCTGCCTCTGGAAAAGCAAACAGCAATCATGAAAAAACCCTTATCTTTTAACATTCTTTGTATGGACAATAATAAAGGAAATCCTTCTGACTTTGGAGTTGGACCACCATAAGGATTTCTGTTTGGCAGACTTTTTAATCATATAACAATGGGGGGGGGGGGGGGGGAATGACCTTCGGAAAGTCCTCTTTTCCTCCAAGCCATTCCTTCTTTCAAATCTTTCTACTAAGGACATTCACAAAAGTTTCCCCTTTGTGCCCTATCTGATTGTAAGAGGAAAACGCGGATTAAGCAATCAATGCTTACCACAGACTCATCTCAAGACAATAAGGTGGCTTCTCTGGCAGGCCGATCCTCGGACTCGATAAGCCTAAGGACATTAAAACTCCATAATCCCCTCAAGAACACATTGTCTCCCTTCATCCCGCCTCCTTCCCTTCTGATTCGCTGGAGCATCAAGGCGGTAGGAACTTCCTGATTGGCTCAGGCACTCCGTGGAAGCCCTGTGATTGGCCCAGGTGCGCAGAGGGAGGCCAGGCCCCCTCCCAGCTGTTAGCACGCCAGCCAATCACCTCCAAGCCGGGCAAGGGGCAGGGAGAGGGGATTTTGAAACTCACAACTCTGTATTTTTCTATAAAAATGCCATTTGTTTCTGTAACCACATGCTCTGCTTGGCAAATGATTGCTGCATTGCATCCTTTTCAGTTGAATCGCTAATAAAACATCTCGGTGGCGCTTCTTCAACTTTGGTGAGACTTTTTCTGAGAATTTAGGGAAATAAAAATTGCTTAAAATTAGGCTTCTCTTTGCTTGACAAAGTAGTGATCCCTCTTTGGTGGGGCCGCAGGGTCTCTCCTCCTAGAGCAGACCCTCCTAAAGTTCCTATCGACTTCATACAGAGGGACCACCAAACGCAGCAGCATTGCCCAAACACGAATCAAGGAACATGAAAGGCACTGCAGACTACTCCAACCAGAGAAGCCAGCCATAGCAGAGCACCTGATGAACCAACCTGGACACAGCATATTATTTGAGAAATGCTGGACCACTCTAACAACCACCATGTCAGACTACACAGAGAAGCCATTGTAATCCATAAGCATGTGGACAATTTCAAGGAGGAAACCATGAAAATGAACAAAATCTGGCTACCAGTATTAAAAAACTCTAAAATTACATCAGCAAAACAACAGAGAGGAAACAAACAAGGACATCTAATCATCTCTCAACAAAAGATTGCCACAGGCACTGCCAGGCCATCAAATGCTAATCAAGGTGGTCAGTTGAAACATTCACACCTAGCTCCTGCAGACAAGAGTTCTTTGTCCCACCCTGGTTATTCCACAGATATATAAACCCTTTTTCCTAGTTCCAACAGACCTCACAACCTCTGAGGATGCTTGCCATAGATGCAGGCGAAACGTCGGGATAAATGCCTCTAGAACATGGCCATATAGTCTGAAAAAACACATTGCTGTGGCCCAGTCTGTGTATATGTGTTTTGTGTGCATATATATGTGTGTATATATCTGTGTATATATCTGTGTTTGCATATATATATATGTGGGTGTATATATGTGTGTGTGAATATATGTGTGCATATATTTGTGTATTTGTGTGTTTATATGTGTACATGCATATTGTGTATATGTGTGTTTATATGTGTGTATATATGTGTGTTTGCATATATATGTGTGTGTGTGTATTTGTGTGTTTATATGTGTACATGTATATAGTGTATATGTGTGTGCTTGTCTATATGCATATTTGTGTGTATATATGTATGTATGTATGTGGATATGTATATGTGTGTGCATGTGTATATGTATATATGTATGTATGTGTGTATTTGTGTGTGTTTGTGCGTATATATTCGTGTGTGTGTATGAATGTGTGCATGTGCTTATGTATATGAGTGTATTTGTGTATGTATATATGGTGTATTTTTGGGGTTTTTAAGTCTGTTCCGCTGGGGTTTTGTGTGTGTATGTTTATGGGTGATAGACACTCATTGGACTGTTAGGTGTGTTGTGTCCAAATTTTGTCTAAATTCATTCAGTGGTTTTTGAGTTATGTTAATCCCACAAACTAACATTATATTGAGTTGTTGTAGGTTTTTTCGGGTTATATGGCCATGGTCTATAGGCATTCTCTCCTGACGCTTCGCCTGCATCTATGGCAAGCATCCTCAGAGGTTGTGAGGTGCTTGCCATAGATGCAGGCGAAACGTCAGGAGATAATGCCTCTAGACCAGGGGTCCTCAAACTAAGGCCTGGGTCTTTTCCCCGGCCCTCTCTCAGGGTCAACTTAAGTCTGAAATGACTTGAAAGCACACAACAACAACAACAATCCTACTCATCAGCCAAAAGCAGACCCACACTTCCTATTGAAATACTAATAAGTTTATATTTGTTAAAACTATTCTTCATTTTAATTATCGTATTGTTTTTAAGTGGTTTTGCACCACAAATAAGATATGTGCAGTGTGCATAGGAATTAATTCTTTTTTTTCGAATTATAATCGAAAAACAGTTTGAGGGACTATTACCTGGCCCTCTGTTTAAAATATTTGAGGACCCCTGCTCTAGACCATGGCCATATAGCCTGAAAAAACCTACAATAACCCAGTGATTCCGGCCATGAAAGCCTTCGACAATACATTTAACATTACATTTTTATTTATATAGATTTTTATTGTTTTATCATTTTATATTTATTAAATTATTTTATAATTTCAATTAATTTCTTGTTGTATTGTTGAAGGATTTCATGGCCGGGATCACTGGGTTGTTGTAGGTTTTTCCGGGCTATATGGCCATGTTCTGGAGGCAATTTTTCTCCTGACGTTTCGCCTGCATTTATGGCAAGCATCCTTAGAGGTAGTGAGGTCTGTTGGAAGTAGGAAAAATGGGTTTATATATCTGTGGAATGACCAGGGTAATGTTTCAGCTATGGCTGATTTCTCTGGTTGGAGTAGTTTGTAGTGCCTTTCATGTTCCTTGATTCGTGTCTGGGCAATGCTGCGTTTGGTGGTCCCTATGTAGACTTGTCCACAGCTGCATGGTACACGGTAGACTCCTGCAGAGGTGAGAGGATCCCTCTTGTCCTTTGCTGAAAGGAGCATTTGCTGGATTTTCTTGGAGGGTCTGTAGCAGAGCACCTGATGAACCAACCTGGACACAGCATATTATTTGAGAACACAGAAGTGCTGGACCATTGAAATCCACAAGCATGTGGACAATTTCAACAGAAAGGAGGAAACCATGAAGATAAACAAAATCTGGCTACCAGTATTAAAAAACTCAAAAATTACAACAGCAAAACAACAGAGAGTAAACAATCAGGCACATCAATTCACTCTCAACAAGAGATTCCCCCCAGGCGCTTCCAGGCCATTGAATGCAAATCAGGGTGATCAGCTGAAACATTACCCTGGTCATTCCACTGATATATAAACCCATTTTTCCTAGTTCCAACAGACCTCACTACCTCTGAGGATGCTTGCCATAGATGCAGGCGAAACGTCAGGAGAAAAATTGCCTCCAGAACATGGCCATATAGCCCGGAAAAACCTACAACAACCCAGTAATTTCTTATTGATTAATTAAGTAATTAAACTGCTAATATTTTTTTGGCTGTAATAACAAGGCAGAGGCGCCAGAGGCGCCAGAGAGAGGACTGAGGAGGGGAAACGGCGTTTCCAATCCGGCCTCCAGGTGGCGCTGTGGCGAGCCCTTGTTTCCAGCCGGAGCGCTTTGAAACAAGGACGCAGCGCCGGCCCCAAAACCGAGGAGCGGAAGTGCTTTGCAAGCCGGGCCGGAAGCGGGAAGAAGGCGAGCGGTAAGGCGGGAGCGGGGGGTCGGAGCGCTTTGGCGGTGCACCGGTCAAGATGGCGGATCGGGAGGAGGCGCTGCGGGAGTTCGTGGCCGTGACCGGGGCCGAGGAGGAGCGGGCGCGCTTCTTCCTGGAGTCTGCGGGCGGGGACCTGCAGGTAGGCCTCTCCCTCCCTCGCCCACTCCCTTCTGGAGCCTCGGGCAGGCTTCCTCCAGGCTCGGAGAAGGGAGGCCCGGGGAAGGCCTCGAGGTGTGGAAGGAGGCCCCACTGAGGAGGGAACAGAGGTCCCACCTGCCTTGAAGCCCAGTGGACTCTCCCTCCTCCTCTGGAGGCTTTGAAGCCTCCCTCATGGCCATCTCTCGGGAGGGCTTTGATGGTGCCTTCCTTCCTGGAGGGGAAATAGAATAGAATAGAAACATAGAATCCTAGAGTTGGAAGAGACCTCAAGGACCATCCAGTCCAACCCCATTTCTGCCAAGAAGCAGGAATATTGCATTCAAATCACCCCTGACAGATGGCCATCCAGCCCCTTTTTAAAAGCCTCCAAAGACGGAGCCTCCACCACACTCCGGGGCAGAGAGTTCCACTGCTGAATGGCTCTCACAGTCATGAAGTTCTTCCTCATGTTCAGATGAAATCTCCTCTCTTGTAGTTTGAAGCCATTGTTCCGCATCCTAGTCTGCAGGGAAGCAGAAAACAAGCTTGCTCCCTCCTCCCTGTGGCTTCCTCTCACATATTTGTACATGGTTATCATGTCTCCTCTCAGCCTTCTCTTCTTCAGGCTAAACATGCCCAGCTCCTTAAGCAGCTCCTCATAGGGCTTGTTCTCCAGACCCTTGATCATTTTAGTTGCCCTCCTCTGGACACGTTCCAGCTTGTGAATATCTCTCTTGAGTTGTGGTGCCCAGAATTGAACACAATATTCCAAGTGTGGTCTAAGCAAAGCGGAATAGAGGAATAGCATGACTTCCCTAGATCTAGACACTAGGCTCCTCTTGATGCAGGCCAAAATCCCATTGGCTTTTTTTGCTGCCACATCACATTGTTGGCTCATGTTTAACTTGTTGTCCATGAGGACTCCAAGATCTTTTTCACACGTACTGCTCTCGAGCCAGGCGTCACCCATTCTGTATCTTTGCATTTTGGTTTTCCTGTCAAAGTGGAGTATCTTGCATTTGTCACTGTTGAACTTCATTTTGTTAGTTTTGGCCCATCTCTCTGTCAAGGTGAAAGAAGAAAGCGCAAAAGCTGGGTTGCAGCTAAACATTAAGAAAAACTAAGATTTTGGCAACCGGACTGATTGATAACTACCAAATAGAAGGAGAAAACATGGAGGCCATGACAGACTTTGTATTTCTAGGTTCAAATATGACTGCAGACGCAGACTACAGCCAGTAAATCAGGAGTTGCTTACTTCTTGGAAGGAGAGCAATGTCCAATCTCGATAAAATAGTGAAGAGTAGAGACATCACACTGGCAACAAAGATCTGCATAGTCAAAGCAATGGTATTCCCTGTAGTCACCTACGGATGTACCCAAATACCTGGGAGTCACTCTGGACCATTCTCTGACCTACAAGAAGCACTGCCTGAACATCAAGCAAAAAGTGGGTGCTAGAAACAATATCATACGAAAGCTGACTGGCACAACCTGGGGATCACAACCAGACACAGTGAAGACATCTGCCCTTGCGCTGTGCTACTCTGCTGCTGAGTATGCATGCCCAGTGTGGAACACATCTCACCACACTAAAACAGTGGATGTGGTTCTTAATGAGACATGCCGCATTATCACGGGGTGTCTGCGCCCTACACCACTGGAGAAATTACACTGCTTAGCCAGTATTGCACCACCTGACATCCGACGGGAAGTAGCAGCCAATAGTGAAAGGACCAAGGCAGAGACATCTCCAGCTCATCCCCTGTTTGGGTATCAGCCAGCACGTCAACGACTTAAATCAGAAATAGTTTTCTAAGATCTACAGAGACACTCGCTGGAACACCTCAGCAAGCGAGAGTCCAAAAGTGGCAGGCTCAAACCCAGAACCTCAACCAATGGCTGATACCAAATGAGAGACTCCTCCTGGGCACACAGAAGACTGGGCGACTTGGAAGGTGCTGAACAGACTGCGCTCGGGCACCACGAGATGCAGAGCCAACCTTCAGAAATGGGGCCACAAAGTGGAATCCTCAACATGCGAGTGTGGAGAAGAGCAAACCACATACCACCTGCTGCAATGCATCCTGAGCCCTGACACATGCACAATGGAGGACCTTCTTGTGGCAACACCAGAGGCACTCCAAGTAGCCAGATACTGGTCAAAGGACATTTAATCAACTAACAAACTTGCAAATTTTGTATTTTGTTTGTTTGTTTTGTTCTGTTAGAAATGTAATACAGTTGACTGGTTGCCCTGACACGACAAATAAATAATATAAAATAAATTCCCTGTAGTCACCTATGGATGTGAGAGCTGGACCATAAGGAAGGTTGAGCGAAAGAAGAGAGGCGCTTTTGAACGGTGGTGCTGGAGGACAATTCTGAGAGTGCCCTGGACCGTGAGAAGATCCAACCAGTCCACACTTCAGGAAATAAAGCCCAACTGCTCATTGGAGGGAAGGATAGTAGAGGCCAAAATGAAGTACTTTGGCCACATCATGAGAAGAAAGGAAAGTTTAGAGAAGACAATGATGCTGGGGAAAATGGAAGGAAAAAGGAAGAGGGGCCAACCAAGGGCAAGATGGATGGATGGCATCCTTGAAGTGACTGGATTGACCTTGAAGGAGCTGGGGGTGGTCACAGCCGACACAGAGCTTTGGCATGGGCTGGTCCATGAAGTCACATAGAGTTGGAAACAACTGAATGAATGAACAAAAAAAAAATGCCATTGCACAAGGAAATTAAATGCTTTCCTCAGTACAGGCCACAACACACCCACCCTTCCACAGTCCCACCACCACACAACCCCCAATGCGTTGTCAATGAGAAGTCACTGAGTTCAACATAGCCACAGCTCTATGATAAAAGCTGTTTCTCAGTCTGTTTGTTCTTACCTTTGTCACCCTGTAGTGTCTGCCAGATGGTAATCATTCAAAAAAAAAAAAAAGCTGCGTGAGATGGATCTCCAAGAATGCTCTGAGCTGTCTTAAGGCTTGGGGACTTAACTCAGAATATCAAGGCGGATAATTAACAATATCTGCTTTCATCTGGGTCCACACTGCCATATAATCCAATTCAGTGTGGATGTTATAAAGCTGTGTAGAAGGGGCTTTATAAAGTTCCTCCAAGGAGGGGAGAAAGAGGTCAACCCATGAGCGCCTTCCAATCTATAGCCACTATGCAATGATGGTGATTGCACAACCCACAGAGCCCCTCACCATCCCATAGCTAACCCTGCAAACAGAGCTATCTGAGAAGAATAGGATCTGTTTGCAGGAGATAAGCCCGCAGGATAGTCCTTCACCATTACTGTCCAAAGAAAAGACTGGGATCCTATCTGGTCTGATTGAGGAGAAAAGGTATGATATATGTAGGATACTGATGCACGTTAAGGACTTTTTGGTGCATTTTTGTTGGCAGTCATTTTTAGCTGCCACAGTTTAAAAATGGCTTCGAACTGCATTAAATGGCTAGTATAGATGGGGCTTTTGTCCCCTGCTTCTATCAAACCTTGCTCCCTCCATCTCAACATCTAAGATCCCACTCTTTTCTTGCTGAGGATTATCCTGTGGGCTTATCTCTTCCAAACAGATTCCATTCGTTTTGTGTAGCTGTGCTTGTGGGGTTTGTTATGGGATGAGGAGGGACATTGCTTTCCTTGCTGCTGCCTCATAGCCACTTCTTGGACAGACATTGTGTTTTGTCTTCCTTTGATTAGGACAGTAGTTTTCAACCTGTGGTTGCCCAGGTGTTTTGGCCTACAACTCCCAGAAACCCCAGCCAGTTTATTTGATTTCTGGGAGTTGAAGGCCAAAATATCTAGGGACCCACGGGTTGAGAACCACTGGATTAGAACTTGGTCAGGAGTTGCAGGAAATTACTCCTTATTCCTTCCATTACTCCTTTAAAATATCATTCATCCCCTGTGCTTCTGATAGCTAAGCCATTATTTCTTAAGTATTGGCTCAAGATAAGACAACACCAGCGGGAGCTCTAAGAGAGAGAAGGTAGTGGCATCAGAGCTCTTTGCTTAAGATTGGTGTGGTGAAGCTCAGCTTCATTCTCATGATTAAGACATTCTCCTTGCTACACGATCAGGATCTTGGGTGTTCACCACAGCTAGTGATAGGCTAGTGATCAGTGTGGCACAGCTCCTTGCTGCCTGGCAACTTGTGTTTCAGGAAGAACAGGTTTCCCTGTGTGGTGCTCTTCCAGGGAGAATGGAGCTGTTCCTGTTCTTTAAGTGCTCCAGGCCGAGAGAGTCACTAAGGCAACTATTCAACTGGAATAGATTGCAGTGTGGACTCAGATAACCCAGTTCAAAGCTATTTTGTGGAATTTTATTCAGCTGTGTGGAAGGGGCCGTAGTGACTCTCTCTCAGCCAGGAGCACCTAAAGAACTGGAACAGTGCCATATTATGGGTTATATGGCTGTGTGGAAGGGCCCAAAGTCAATCACTTTCACACCATTGGCGTCTTTTTGGAAAAGTCTGTAGCCATGGATTCTGCAACTGTGCACTTTGACATGCAGGGAGTTTAGGGAATTGTAATCCCAGGTTGGAGAAGACTGTTTAGGCTCTTATATATTATACTCAGGTGATAAATATGACATGAGAGGCAGAGAATGATCTCACAAAGAAGTACATACCTTTCTGTTTGTCCTTATTTACTTCCTTCCTAAAAGAAGCAGTTTTCCCTCTGAATAGGGTTGGACTTTTTCACACACATTACAGAGGGAAACAAATGAAGACATTTGAGACCTCCAAGGGCAATGTACTCATAATCCAATGTGCATCTTAAAACATGTATCCCATCATTTTTGCCCATGTCCAGCATTATTTTTTAATCTTTTAAATTTTAATTACATTTGGCCTTCCCATAGATTTTAAAGTGTTTTGTCCTATTGATAACGCTTATGTTATTGTTTTATTGTTTTGTTGTTTTTAAATTGCTTCTATTATTATTGTTATTGCTTGTATTGTATTTTGGGCTCGGCCTCATGTAAGCCGCACCGAGTCCCCTGGGGAGATGGTAGCGGGGTATTAATAAAGTGTTATTATTATCTTAGACACAGAGCAGTGCATTCAAACTACAGAAAAGGGGTTTTCGTTTTAACATTGGGAAGAATTACCTGGCTGTAAGAGCTGTTTGTGGAAAATCCTGCTGTCTTGGAGTATGGTGGAGTCTACTTTTTCTGGATGTTTTAAGCAGAGGCTGGATAATTTGAACTGTTAGGTGTAAAAGTATCAAATGCCCTATTTTGAGTTGTTATGAACGACATGTTTTTTATATGGCACAGATTATAACTGTATTACTACTCAAACTCTTCACCTAAAAACAAGCTAATTGGATTGATGTCCAGGATAAAAGGCATGGCTTGGATTTATTTCAAGAAAAGTAATTTTGTAAGTAGCCAGTGACAAAACTAGTGACAAAACTACCTACGAAACTTGATAACTAGTCAGTTGCAAAACTAGCCAGTTACAAAACGGTGCCAACCTTCTGAAATCAGACATGTTTGGTCCTGTTTTGGGAGGGACCATCTACAAAATCATCAAATTGGAAGATAACCCAAAGGCTGTCTGTCCGATCCTGTTGTTGTTCCCTCCTGCCATACAGGAATAGACAAAGCCCTCTCAACAGATGGTTCTCAAAGCATCTTAGATATTAGCCCTATTCCTTCTGTTGAAAAGTCAGGGATCCCTGGCAAAAAAGGTGCAGAGATGAAATCAAGTGACCATGTATGTCATAATAACAAAAAAGTAGAGCAGTGGTACCTACTGCTATTCATAAGGGATGAGTTGTAACACTGACTGTTGGTGCCTTGTTTTCCATTACCTAGATTATTGGCAAATGGAAGATGCTGGTTGATTGTAAAACTCGATTAGGGTTGCAATTATCTAAGTCAATCCATCTAAATAACCAGCGAATTCACAAGAGTTCATGGGCCTGTTCACATTTTATCAAGGAGAAGCAGTGCTGTGCCTCACAGTGAAACTTTGCTTGCTTGTTTCTCCCCTTTCTAAATTTCCAGTAATCTTATATTTCAGATTTCCCTCCCTCGGAGAATTGTGCCTTCATAGCCGCTTTTTACCTGGAAGTCCTATTGTGGGGTGTTTTTTGGGGGTTTTTTTGAGGTCTGTTGCAGTAGACTTCACAAACACCTGTGACTGGCTCTCCAGATTCTCTTCTCATCTTTGCCTTAAGTCCTATCATTTTATTTCACATGAGCAGAATTAGAAGAAATTCAGAGACAGAGCTTTTGCAGAGACACTCTCCTTGAGAGGAAAGGTTTCCTTAGGCATTCCAGAGTCTCATCTGCCTTTTTTTTAGTTTTAAGTCTTTAAGCCTTGCGCATCCAAGTGCAAAATATTCCCTTTTTTTTGGTCGGACCACATCTGCAATCACACTGTGTCTAATTCTATGCACTGCAGTTTAAGGGAGACGTTGACTCTTAAGCTGGAATGTGTTCAGAGGAAGGCAGCAAAAATGATCACAGATCTGGAGAACAAGCCCTAAGAAGAGCATCTTAAAGAGCTGGGCATGTTTAGCCTGCAGAAGAGAAGACTGAGAGGAGACATGATGAGGGCATGTTTCAAGATGTGAGGGGGAGTCATAGGAAGGAGCACGCAGGCTTGTTTTCTGCTGCCCTGGAGACTAGGACGCCAAACAATGGCTTCAAACTACAGGAAAGGAGATTCTACCTAAACATTATTACCTTATTTTATTAAATGAAGATCACCATGCATCTGGGTAAGGAATTAGCTGGTCCTGCAAGTAAGTTGCACAATTTAGGCCAGGCTTATGGGAGGTGGAGGCCAGAACATCCGGCTGAAGGTTGCCTTCCTGTACTTTGTACAATGGTTGCATTTTGCATCCCAGGTTTCTGGGATCTGTGCTGATTCATGACACCAGAGTTGGAACAACCACAAGTTCCCTGGCTGGTTTCCTCCCACCTTTTGTGGCCTTCATATTTCTTCACTGGGGTATAAAATTTCCCAAAGCATTCGTGAAAATGCTGGAGATCAGCCCAGTTTCACTTATCAGGATTTCCCCAAGGGACTTTTACTGGACTGCGTGCTTGCTGGTATTGTTTGGGTGGTTTAGGTGTTGTTATGGGATGATTAAACGTTGCGTTCCTGTCCTCTTGGATGGTGCCATCTCTCAGAAGCTGCTGTGAATCCCTCCTTTCAGATTGCCTTGGCCAGTTTCTACGAAGATGGAGGGGATGAAGACATCATTACTCTCCCTCAGCCGGCTCCAAGTTCTGTTACAAGAGGCACCACACCCAGGTAAGAACAACTGGCATGCCTTCGAGCACAACTGTATTACACACCTTTATATATGTGCCAGTTTCCAGAAGGAGACATGATAATTGTTGCTTTGGAAAGCTCTGCTGGAGATCTCGAATAACCATTGAACTACAGTTTCCCTGAGGGTGACTTGTGGAACAATACTGGTAAACCAGAATAGATAAGTTAGATGCGCATTTTAAGCCATTTGAGACTGAGCATTCATTAAGGCTGACTGCAAAGTCATTGAAATGCTGTAAAAATAGATGTGCTGTACTTTTTATAGTAGAGCGGAGTAGCAAAACATACCTCGTATGGGCTAGCTCTGAGTATAAATAGATGTTTTGTGGAGACTTTTGTACACTTTGTATTTGTGTCCTTTAGGATATGCCAGGATATAGTTTGCATTTAGGTTCAATTCCCAGCCCCCAAATATTCTATCGCTGGGATGGTCCGAAATTCTGAATCGGGAAGAATTCCTCGCAGGGACTTTGTGCAGCTGATGCCAGGGACAGTAGACAGAATTGGTGCAGAGAAGCTCCAGTCTTCTGTCTGGGATGACTCAGCGTGACCCTGTTGTGGACTGCAAAGTTAGTTTCTTTTTTTTTAAATGGTATGCCATGTGACTGGATAGGTTTGTTGTCTTAGGTTTGTATTTTCACTGACTTGGATGGCAGTGAAATATTCCACACCTGGAATATTGTGTCCAATTCTGGGCACCAAAATTCAAGAGAGATATTGACAAGCTGGAATGTGTCCAGAGGAGGGCGACTAAAATGATCAAGGGTCTGGAGAACAAGCCCTATGAGCTTAAGGAACTGGGCATGTTTAGCCTGAAGAAGAGAAGGATGAGAGGAGATATGATAGCCATGTATAAATATGTGAGAGGAAGCCACAGGGAGGAGGGAGCAAGCTTGTTTTCTGCTTCCATGGAGACTAGGACAAGGAACAATGGCTTCAAACTACAAGAGAGGAGATTCCATCTGAACATGAGGAAGAACTTCCTGACTGTGAGAGCCGTTCAGCAGTGGAACTCTCTGGCCCGGAGTGTGGTGGAGGCTCCTTCTTTGGAAGCTTTTAAACAGAGGCTGGATGGCCATCTGTCGGGGGTGCTTTGAATGCAGTATTCCTGCTTGGCAGAATGGGGTTGGACTGGATGGCCCATGAGGTCTCTTCCAACTCTTTGATTCTATGTAGAGAGCTTTGCAAAAGCATGGAAGAGCCAAACAACGGTGAGCAAAATAATGGCTCCTGGTCTCTTACTGAAGCAATTTTCTGGAATTCTGTCACAATCCTTCGAGCAGTAGCCTAGCCCCATTTTTGGTACTTGCTGAGCTTAAAGAGATGGTTAAGACTGCATTACAGGGATTTAATAATATTAATCATCATCTTTATACCCCGACACCATCTCCCCAATGGGGAGTCAGGGCGGCTTACATGAGGCCAAGCCCAAACAATAAATTACAACGAAATAAAAACGAAAACAATAAACAACCTCATAATTAGATAAAACATATGAATGCATAACAATATAAAATTACAGTAAACACAATCACAGTGACAATGGCCAAGCTACATGTAATGATTTCCTAGGCTGTCCTCTTTCTTTCCCCCGGATAAGTGAAGTGCTACTTAAGGAATGCTTGGGATCATGCTGAAACCTGCCCCTCTGACTCAGGGCCCGGCCTGAATTGATTGGATGTGTCAGAGGTCTTTGCAAGATGTAAGCACTCCCTCCTTCAAGGAGTGCATGCTTCATAATCACAGGCAAATTAGTAGTTTTTTGTAATATACATGAATCAGATCCTGAACATGTATGAGGTACACATTATTTATTTATTTACCATATTTGTACACTACCATTCTCACCTCAGAGGGGACTCAGGGTGGTCTTACAACAGACAGCAATTCGATGCCATCCACACATATATTAAAATAAACAATTACAATTATAAACCCCCTCAGGGTGAGACAGGCGGTATTTATTCATTTATTTATTTATTTGCAGTATTTGTATCCTGCTTTTCTCACTCCGAGGGGGTTTATAATTGTAATTGTTTATATTAATATAACAGAATTGCTGTCTGTTGTAAGGTATATAAATACTATAAATAAATAAATGATTAAACATCAATTACAATTACGCCATCTAAATCATAATCCAGGGCCGTTCCATTTGTCAATCGTATTGATTCATAATCACGTATTTCACTGTTCCAAATTAGTTGTCAAAAGCTTGGTCCCAAAGCCACATCTTAAGTCATGCTGGGCAACCTTTCGAGCTTGGTGTGTCAATACTCGCCAAAAAACTGAGCATAACTCGAGTGGGGTGTCACTTCGAGAGTAAACCCATACTTTCATGATATTTATAGTTTAATAACAAAAATATATTATTGTAATATATAACTGTATATTTTCTATACAGTTTTCTATAACTTTTTCTATAATGCCATATATCTCGGCATTACAGAAAAATGCTGGTGTAGGAGCCAAGGATGAAATGTCCTTCTTGGGATGCGGCCCCATCTTCTCTGTATGCGGCTGCATGCAGCTGTGTGTCATTGAAAATGGCTACGCGTGTCAGTGCTGACACACATGTCATAGGTTCGCCATCATGGTCTTAAGTTTTTTTCCTGAAGATCAGGAGAGAAGGGGCTGATCTACTATGATCCTTTTGGTGCCTGGTCAATATTAAACTTTTGATCATCCTTTTGACCTTTGTTTTACATGCTGTTTAGTACAGTTGCTGTGGTGGCATCATTGCAAAGGGAAAAGAGGTTTGGGATTTTCAATGGATCACAACTGAGATAGGATTGTTGTTTATCCAGTCCTTCCCTTCCTGGATTCCAGCCTTTCATGCAATTCTGGAAGATGAAGTTGCACAAAACGATTCTGGCCCAGCTTATCTATCTGAACGCATCTCTTCCTACGAACCCCCCAGGAATTTGAGATCGTCCGAGGAGGCCCTGCTCTCGATCCCGCCTGCTTTGCAAGCACGTCTGGCGGGGACGAGAGACAGGGCCTTCTCTGTGGTGGCCCCTCGGCTGTGGAACTCCCTGCCTAGGGACATTAGATCAGCTCCCTCCCTCCTGACCTTTTGGAAAAGAGTAAAAACTTGGCAAGCATTTGGAACCTCCGAATAAATAGACAAACTTGAATTGGAGAATTATTATTATTATGATTATCTTTATTTGTACCCCGCTAGCACCTCCCGAAGGACTCGATGCGGCTTACAAAGGCCAAGGCCTCAAAACACAACATAACAATACAACACCTAAAGCAAATTAAAAACAGTTAAAGCAATATTAAACAACAAGCAATAAACAATACATCAAGACACAATAAAACTGGGCCGGGCCAGAGTAATGGGTACAGGATTAAAAGTGCTGATGTGACAGGTGATATGTAGGATTATAGGGTAAGTACAGTGTGCGGTGTGCCAGAAATCCTAGTTCTAATAAAGTGCTTCTGGGACTTGTTATTGGAGATTCCTATTCTGGGAAGGGAGATCGGAACAGCCAGGTCTTCAAGTTCTTTCTAAAGACTGCCAGTGTAGGGGCCTGTCTAAGATCTTTTGGGAGGGTGTTCCAGAGTCAGGGGGCCACCATAGAAAAGCCCCTGTCTCGCGTCCCCACCAAACCCGCCTCCAACACAGGCGGAATCACAAGCAGGGCCTCTCCGGATGAACGAAGTGAGCGCATGGGTTCATAAATGGAGATGCGGTCACACAGATAGGATGGTCATTTAGGGCTTTGTAGGTAAGGACCTGCACCTTAAATTGGGCTCGGAAAATAAACGGCAGCCAGTGGAGCTCCTTGAACAGGAGGGTTGACCTCTCTCTGTAAGGAGCCCCAGTTAACATCCTGGCTGCTGCCCGTTGGACCAGTTGGAATTTCTGAGCCGTTTTCAAGGGCAGCCCCATATAGAGCGCATTACAGTAGTCCAATCTAGAGGTGACCAAGGCATGGACCACCCCGGCCAGATCAGCCTTTGTGAGGTACGGTCGCAGTTGGCGCACGAATCTCAATTGTGCAAAAGCCCTCCCGGACACCACCGACGCCTGACCCAGGAATGGCCCAAGACGATGGAAAGGATAAGGACTTGAATGAGAGGATATAGTTTTTAGCTTTTAATATTGTTATTATGCACTGTCTTATGTCTAATTGCACTATAATGGTTCTTTTGCTTATCAATGTATATATTTTTATGGCATCGAATTGTGCCGATTGTGCACGCCGCTCTGAGTCGCCTCCGGGCTGATATGAGTGGGGTAGAAATAATGCAAATAAATAAATCAATAAAACCCCAGGTTTTCGCATCTGTGCACCATGTGGCATTCAGATCTTTAGATCCTTTCCTCTTTTTAAAACCTTTGTTTCCTATTGCTAGCATCACCTAGCAGGAATCATAGAATCCTGATTCTGTGGAGCAGGCTTAACGGCGTTGAGAGGGATGGCATGAGGACAAAAGAGCACGTTAGCAGAAGGTGGACTCATTTGGCTTTTCCTTTCTTCTCCCCAGCGACCACCGGGTGACATCATTCCGCGATCTTGTCCATGCTCAGGAAGAGGAGGAGGAGGAGGAAGAAGGACAAAGGTTTGTTGCTGGTTGAATGCCCAGATCTCCATCTTACTTATGGGAAGAGAGTGAGACGAGGGAGAAAGATCTGGCTTTGTCTCTGGCGACACATTGATGCTGAGGCTGCTATAGAAATGGTGGTGTTGGGCGGGCCGTGGCTGTTGGAGCAGCTGTTGGAGTCTGTCTCTTGAAGGGCATGACCTTCCCTGCCTTTGTCTGAGGCCCTTTCATTCCAGGCCTTGCATAGCAAGTGGCTGCGCTCTTCTTCGCCTCGAGCAGGAGATGGCATTATTAGTTGCCTTCTTCTGTACTGATATCCCGATAGATATCCTGCATCAAGAAAAGCTGGTCATTCTCTGATCCGTAAAATGCTTTTATTTCAATTTTCATTCAGTGTTCATTTACTCTGGTTTGTTGTAGGTTTTTCAGGCTGTATAGCCATGTCCCAGAAGCATTCTCTCCTGACATTTCACCTGCATCTGTGGCAGACATCCTCAAAGGTTGTGAGCTCTGTTGGAAACTAGGAAAATGGGGTTTATATATCTGTGGAAGGTCCAGGGTGGGAGAAAGAACTCATGTCTGTTGGAGCTAGGTGTGAATGCCTCAATTGGCCACCTTCAATTGACCACATTTCTGTATACGAACCCACACAATCTCTTCGTTCATCTGGAGAGGCCCTGCTCACGATCCCACCTGCATCGCAAGCGTGCTTGGTGGGAATGAGGGACAGGGCCTTCTCGGTGATGGCCCCATGACTCTGGAACTCCCTCCCCAAGGACATCAGGCATGCCCCAACACTGGCAGTCTTTAGAAGGAGCTTGAAAACATGGATGTTCCAGTGTGCCTTCCCAGATTAAGGAAGCCCAAGCAATATGTCCCAAATGCACTTTACAAGAGAGTTAGAATTGTCTGCACACCCACTTATCCCTAAAATATCCATCCTATTTCACCTGGACATGCCCAGCATTTTAAAAAAAATAACCATTACATTTGGCCCTGCCACAGATTTTTAAATGCTGATATTTTTGTTATTGTTTTGCTTTGCTATGAGTTATTTATTGTTGTATTGTTGTTGTTGTGTTTTTTGTTTCTGATGTATTTTGGGCTGAGCCTCTTGTAAGCCGCACCCACCGAGTCCTGCGGGAGATGGTAGCAGGATATAAATAAAGGTTTATTATTATTATTATTATTATTATTATTATTATTATTATTATTGATAAGCATTTGATGGCCTGACAGTTTTTAGGTGTGGCTTGTTACCCTCTCCCACCCTGGACCTTCCACAGATATATAAACCCAATTTTTCTAGTTTCCAACAGACCTCACAACCTCTGAGGATATCTGCTACGGATGCAGGTGAAACATCAGGAGAGAATGCTTTTGGAACACGGCCATATAGTCTGAAAAACCTACAACAACCCAGTGATTCTGGCCATGAAAGCCTTTGACAATATACTCATTTACTCTGTTCACTATTTATGCTGCTTATTCTATTTTTGCTAGTTAATCAGGGAGCGAAAGATGTCCATTGATCAGGGGCCTCTACTCAGGAGGGCAGAAGAAGGAGGGCCTGAAGAACAACCCCTATGAGGAGCAGTTTAAAGAGCTGGGCATTTTTAGCCTGCAGAAGAGAAGGCTGAGAGGAGATATGATAGCCATGCATAAATATGTGAGAGGAAGTCATAGAGAGGAGGGAGCAAGCTTGTTTTCTACTGCCCTGGAGACTACGACTCTGGAGAACAAGCCCTATGAGGAGCAGCTTAAAGAGCAGGGCATGTTCAGCCTACAGAAGAGAAGGCTGAGAGGAGACATGATAGTCATACATAAATATGTGAGAGGAAGTCATAGGAAGGAGGGAGCTGCCCTGGAGACTAGGACGCAATGGAACAATGTCTACAAGAAAGGAGATTCCATCTGAACATTAGGAAGAACTTCCTGAGTGTGAGAGCTGTTCAGCAGTGGAACTCTCTGCCCTGGAGTGTGGTGGAGGCTCCTTCTTTGGAAGCTTTTAAACAGAGGCTGGATGGCCATCTGTCAGGGGTGCTTTGAATACAATTTTCCTGCTTCTTGGCAGAATGGGGTTGGACTGGATGGCCCATGAGGTCTCTTCCAACTCTATGATTCTATAAAGGGCCCCTGAGCTCCTCACCCCAAAACACAGGCTCCAGAAATGGCCATTGATTTTTTTTTTGGTCGTGTCAGGAGCGACTTGAGAAACTGCAAGTTGCTTCTGGTGTGAGAATTGGCTATCTGCAAGGACATTGCCCAGGGGACACTCAAATGTTTTGATGTTTTTACCATCCTTGTGGGAGGCTTCCCTCATGTCCCCGCATGAAGAGCTGGAGCTGATAGAGGGAGCTCATCTGCACTCTCCCCGGATTTGAACCTGCGACCTGTCGGTCTTCAGTCCTGCCAGCACAAGGGTTTAACTCACTGCGCAACTGGGGGCTCCATGGCCATTGATGCCAGTCAGGATCTTGTGAGGAAGGGATTCAAAGCAGCCTCTCAGAATTAAACACCCCCATGATTGTGTTGTTGTGTGCCTTCAAGCCACTTCTTGTCTGGATTTACTTGGGAAATTTGCTGTTCTTTAAAGCTGAGAGACAGTGATTTACCCAAGGCCACACATGGCTGAACAGGGATTAGAATCCTACTCTCCTAGAGTCCTAATCCATCCCTCAAGCCAGTACGCTTATATCACATTGGACTCTTTGAGTAGCTTTGCTATCTGAGCTTAACCAAGAGAGAGTTGACTTGATAAGGGAGCTCCTGCTAAAGCTAAGGGGTCATTCCGGCATGTTGGAGATAACAGCCGTGCTTCGCTCTTTGAAGCAACTTGCTTAGCCTTTGAACTACAGCCTGAATTCAGTTGAGTGTAGCTCCTGTGTCTTGCCTCTTGTCAACTGAGCCAGTCAACAGAAGAGAGCTGCCTATAGAGAGCCATGTTGAAGCAAAGGCCTAACAGCAGGTCATTCTTCTTGTTCGATGGTCTGACTTGGCCACGGTAGTCCACGCTCTGGTTACATCCCGTTTAGACTACTGCAACGCTCTCTATGTGGGGTTGCCTTTGAAGACAGCTCGGAAGCTCCAACTAGTCCAACGCTCGGCAGCCATGATTTTAACAGGAACGGAGCGCAGGGAGCATACAACCCCCCTGTTGCGCCAACTCCACTGGCTACCGATCTGCTACCGGGCTGAATTCAAAGTGCTGGCGTTGGCCTTTAAAGCCCTAAACGGTTCCGGCCCAAGCTACCTATCCGACCGCATCTCTGCCTATGAACCCACCAGGACTTTGAGATCTTCCGGGGAGACCCTGCTCTCGATCCCGCCTGCTTCTCAAGCTCGGCTGGCGGGGACGAGAGATATGGCCTTCTCGGTGGTGGCTCCTCGGCTGTGGAACGCCCTTCCTACGGACATTAGACTAGCACCATCTCTAATGGTATTCCGCAAAAAGGTGAAGACCTGGATGTTTGTGCAGGCGTTTGAGTAATTTTAGTGCAATCTGGTAATGGAACATAGGAATGGAACAATGGACGACGAATCTGGACTACGCTTGGATGATGAGAAGATTGGGTACGGTTGTTTTTTGTAATAATTGTGCATTGTAATTGCTTATTGGTAATTTATGGATAATGTGTTAAGTCAATTGTTATATGTTGCATGGAACCACTGCTGTTTCTACTGTTTTTACTGTTTGTGAACCGCTGTGAGTCGCCTTCGGGCTTGAGATACAGCGGTATAGAAGCAAAGTAAATAAATAAATAATAAATAAATGCTTGTGAGTGCTGGTCACCTATGTAGTGAAAATATAGCAAAGGTGCATAAGTTTTTACAAGGCTTGTGCTTTCTAAATCTTTCAGATGTTAGGTGCTAAGAATGAGGAGAAGGAGGGATCAGGATTTGTTGTGACTACACAACAGTACAGAAAAAAGTACAAAAAGTATTGCTTTTTCATGCCTTCATTGCACTCCTTTGAACTAGGGTTACCCACTTGCAGGGCTCTAATATGTTAGACCAGCTCAGATATAGATAAGAGTAGACCTTCCACTTTCATGGGTGTTGGGTTGCAGATCCCCCACAAATGTGGGAAACTGAATTAAGAAAAGTATTTCTTTTCTTTTTACCTGGGAGAACACCTCACTAGGAATCTCTAGGTCCTCCCGCACAATTCTGTGATTTGCCTCGTCTGTCCGTTGAACATAGAATTGAATTGGAGTGCTTACAAATACTTAGAGGAGTGTTCTTTTGAGGAATCTCTAGAGCCCCTTCCACACAGCTGAATAAAATACCACATTTTCTGCTTTGAACTGGAATATATGGCATTGTGGACTCAGATAATAATAATAATAATAATAATAATAATTTTATTTATTTATTTATTTATTTATTTATCATGTCAGGAGCAAACCAAACAGTTGTATTACATTTTTTTAACAAACAAACAAGCAAACAAAGCACAACGTTTGCAAGCTTGGTAGTTGATTAAATGTCCTTTGACCAGTATCTGGTCACTTGGAGTGCCTCTGGTGTTGCCGCAAGAAGGTCCTCCATTGTGTATGTAGCAGGGCTCAGGTTGCATTGCAGCAGGTGGTCAGTGGTTTGCTCTTCTCCACACTCGCATGTTGTGGATTCCACTTTGTAGACCCATTTCCTAAGGTTGGCTCTGCATCTCGTGGTGCCAGAGCGCAGCCTGTTCAGCGCCTTCCAAGTCACCCAGTCTTCTGTGTGCCCAGAGGGGAGTTTCTCATCTGGTATTACCCATGGATTGAGGTGCTGGGTTTGGGCCTGCCACTTTTGGACTCTCGCTTGCTGGGGTGTTCCAGTGAGTGTCTCTGTAGATCTTAGAAAACTATTTCTTGATTTAAGTCATTGACGTGCTGGCTGATACCCAAACAAGGGATGAGCTGGAGATGTCTCTGCCTTGGTCCTTTCACTATTGGCTGCTACTTCCCGGCGGATGTCAGGTGGTGCAATACTGGCTAAGCAGTGTAATTTCTCCAGTGGTGTAGGGTGCAGACACCCCGTGATAATACGGTATGTCTCATTAAGAGCCACATCCACTGTTTTAGTGTGGTGAGATGTGTTCCACACCGGGCATGCGTACTCAGCAGCAGAGTAGCATAGCGCAAGGGCAGACGTCTTCACTGTATCTGGTTGTGATCCCCAGGTTGTGCCAGTCAGCTTTCGTATGATAATGTTTCTAGTGACCTACAAGAAGCAGGCAGTGCTTCTTGTAGGTCAGAGCACGGTCCAGAGTGACTCCCAGGTGTTTGGGTGCGCTGCAATGCTCCAGTGGGATTCCTTCCCAGGTCATCCTCAGAGCTCGGGATGCTTGTCTGTTCTTGAGATGAAAGGCACATGTCTGTGTTTTAGATGGATTAGGGATCAGTTGGGTTTTCCCTGTAATAGGCAGTAAGAGCACCTAGAGCTTCAGAGAGCTTCTGTTCTACCATCTCAAAGCTCCTTGCTTGAGCAGTAATGGCATGATCATCAGCATATCTGAAACCCTAGGGATGATGATGACCTAAAGGTGAGGAGAGATGATGATGACCTAAATTCCCCGGGAAGTGAATTCCACAGGTGGGGGGGGGGCCACCACCGAGAAGTCCCTGTCCCTTGTCCCTGCCAAACATGTTTGAGACAAAGGCGGGGCCAAGAGCCGGGCCTCTCCATTAGATCTTAAACTCCAAGGTGGGACATAGAAGGAGATATGTTCGAACAGGTACGCTGGACAGGAGCCATAATATAGGGTTTTATAGGTCAAAACCAGCACTTTGAATTGTGCTCGGAATTGGATCGGCCGCCATTGGAGCTGACACAACAGGGGGGTGGTATGCTCCCTGTATGACGCTCCGGTGAGTAGCCTAGCTGCCTGCCCGTTGGACCTTTTGCTTGAAGTTGATGACCTTGGAGGGCTTACAGATTCCAAGAGAGAACATTTTAATCAAATCCATGAATAATCAAATCTGCAAAAATTCAGTCTGCAAATGTGGAGGGCTGTCTGTCCAGTGGAGAAGTGTGGCGATGATGTGGGTTTGTTGTCTTCTCTTCAGATTTTACGCCGGAGGCTCAGAGCGAAGTGGGCAGCAGATTGTTGGCCCTCCCAGGAAGAAGAGTCCCAACGAATTGGTGGAAGACTTGTTCCGAGGGGCCAAAGAACATGGAGCCGTGGCTGTTGAGAGGACGGCCAAGAGCCCTGGAGAGGGGAGCAGGGCAAGGGTGAGCATGGAGTAGGGGGTGGAAGGTTTGGGGTCTGGTGGGAGCAGTAAAAACTGAGGTGGGGAGCCTCATTTGGTCTCTGAGCTGTTTTAGCAGCTCCCAAGTCTGTGTCCTCCAGCACTGTGCTTTTCCCCAGTCAGCGACTGCAGATAAGAGCAGAAAGATCGCTTCCTTTCTGTGTTGTGCAGTTTTGCTGTTCTCTCCATCTTTTTTTTTTTTTGAGAGAGAGAGAGAAGCAAGTCTTTGGGTTTGTAAATCCATTTGGCTTCCTCCAACTCTTCAAGGCTGTTTTCTTCCTTTCAGCCCTTTGCCGGCGGGGGGTATCGCTTGGGAGCTGCTCCTGAGGAGGAGTCTGCTTACGTGGCAGGAGAGTCAAGGCAGAATGCAGCCCAAGATGTGAGTAGTTCTGAAACGAAAGGTATAGTTATAGTATTGTCTTCTAAGGCTCCAATTCAGGGCCTTTCCACACAGCTCTATACCCCAGAATATCAAGGCAGAAAATCCCACAATATCTGCTTTGAATTCAGTTATCTGAGTCCACAGTGCCATATATCCCAGTTCAAAGCAGTTTTTGTGGGATTTTCTGCCTTTTTTTTTTTTGTCGTGTCAGGAGCAGCTTGAGAAACTGCAAGTTGCTTCTGGTGTGAGAGAATTGGCCGTCTGCAAGGACGTTGCCCAGGGAACGCCCGGATGTTTTGATGTTTTATCATCCTTGTGGGAGGCTTCTCTCAGGTCCCCATATGAGGAGCTGGAGCTGATAGAGGGAGCTCATCTGCGCTCTCCCCGGATTTGAACCTGTGAGTTGTCGGTCTTCAGTCCTGCCGGCACAAGGGTTTAACCCACTGCGCCACCGGGAGCTCCTTTTTTCTGCCTTGATATTCTGGGATATAGGGCTGTGTGGAAGGGTCCTCTGAGAATCCAAAATCAAAGAGTTGGAAGAGACCACATGGGTGTTGCACTCCAGGTCAGGTAGAAGCCCTCTGACTTTAAAGCACACCACACGAAGAGTGAAGAAACAAATCTTCTTTTATTGAAGCTTAGTTAGTAGCCAGAAGAAATAAATGCTTGTAAGAAAATAAGAAAGTTCCAAAAAGTAATAAGTCCATAAAAGGTAGTAACACCAAGCAAAGTCCACAGAAGTTATAAAAGCAATCCAAGGCAGCATTTATCCAGACAGGAATCAACAGGATGCGAAGACAATCCAAAAGGCTAAAAAAAAAAAAAACTCCACAGGAACAAGACTCTTTGAACAAAATTTCCATGGCATATGAACTTAATTTCCAAATGATGCCTGATCTAACAGGTCTTCATTTGAGGCAAACTTTATATCCCGAAACTCAGGAATATGTTTCGCTTCCCCCCACATTTACCCCTTATCAGGTGAAGCCTTTCAGAGTGACGTAAACACTGAGTTTGCTGTCGATCCTGGCTAATCTCCAGCCGCCTATTCTTCAGCTCCCTATCTGACTACTCATTAAAATTCCCAGGTGTCAGATTGTTTTCCAAACCCAAATCTTGAGAGCTCACAGAGAGAGGGAGTGAACCATCATTGCTAGGCCCAGCAGGGATATTCTCATGAGAAACTGTCCTTTGCAGTGAGGCCTCTCTGTCATTGTCTGCATGAAAATCATTGACCAAGCCATCTCCATCTTGGACCTCAGCCTCGGCACCATCATTTCCCTCATCATTTCCCACATCAGGATCCTGAAACACAAACACAGGCTGATTCCCAACAATGGGCCATCTAGTCCAACCCCCTTCTGCCATGCAGGAGAAGCACAATCAACGTGTTGGAAATGTTTCTATTTCTTTGCAGGTCCACGTGGTCCTGAAATTGTGGAAGAGCGGGTTCAGCCTGGACGGTGGCGAACTGCGGAGCTACCAAGACCCGTCCAATTCCCAATTCCTGGAATCTATCCGCAGAGGGTAACAAATGGGGAGTGGGGAGATGTCTTATCCCAGATGTTTGAGGCCGGGGCTGTCATTCCTCACAGTGAAGCTGAGCAGAAGATGCTCCATTCGGTTACATGACCCAGAAAGGTTCCTTATGTGGCTTGGCCTCGGGCCTCGAATGAGTCTCTTTCTTCCCTTCCTTTTGCCAGGGAGGTCCCTGCGGAGCTCCGTCGGTTGGCGCGCGGCGGGCAGGTGAACCTGGACCTGGAGGACCACCGCGATGAGGATTTTGTGAAGCCCCGAGGGACCTTCAGAGCTTTCACTGGAGAAGGGCAGAAGCTGGGCAGGTGAGGAGTTTCCTTACTTAAGACTCTTCCCTCTGTGTGTTTGAACATACAGTGGAAACTTTACTTAAGAACGTCCCAACCTATTCGCGTCGCTAGGCCCTGTTTCGCTTTGACATAAGAGCAGCATTTTGAGTTAAGAGCTAGTGCCAGCGGGAGTTCTAGCACCAGAGTACAGGGCTTTGGGGCTTTGAGGGAGCAGCCTCTGTGCCTTGTACTTCGTGCTTTTGTCCACTTTGGGAGATTGCTGTCTGCTTTGCTCTTGTCCACTTTGAGGAACTTGGGGTTCGTTTTTATTTCTGTGCCAGTAGCGTGGTGTGAGAGAATTGGCTGTCTGCAAGGACATTGCCCAGGAGACACCTGGACGTGTTACCATCTTGTGGGAGGCTTCTCTCATGTCCCTGTGTCATGAATGACTTTTCAATGACTTTAATGCATAGGCTCTTTTTATTGCAATTTCCAGTGTGAGAAGGTAGATCAGATTACAGAAAACATTTAGACAAAGAATGACATTGGACATACAGACATACAGATTCTATGCAACTACATTGGATTTACAATTACATTGGTTAACAAACAAACAAAGGGGAGTTACATTTTCACTCAACATTCACACACATGTACACGCATTCATCCACATGCATCCAAATATTACCATATCCTTTTCTCCCTCCTTGGAGAAGCACCTGTCAGGCCAGACCCTTATTTCCTTCAGCCTGCCAACATATAGTTCCAAAACTTCCATAACGCCAAAACTTCAAAATGCCGAAATGCCAAAATTTCTTTCCCTAAGAACAATGCAAAGGACCAGATGTCTATTTTCCCTACAACAGAACCTGACTCTCTGCACAAAATCTAAGACTCCAAAAGCGCACTTCTTCCTTTTCCCTTGAGAAAGAAGCCCCAAAGTGACCAGACTGCAAATGTGCCACTCTCCAAATACACCATCTCTCTCCTTCCCATGGAGCAGAGCATGGCGGGTGGAACAGACTCCTCGGGTCTGCCACACTTTGAGCATTATTAGACTGAGTCTTTTATAGGAATATTCTGCTGATGTAGTTCCAAAGTTGTAAATTAATAATAGGCGTCTTTCATCCTGGATCCATCTCAGTTTCCTGGCCAGATATTGACTCTTCTTGATTGGTGTTGACAAACACAAGGCTTGTGTTGACTTCCTTCTTAACATAAGGAATGGTGCAAACATTGACTTGAAAGAACCATTGTCACAGTTCTTATCAATTTTCATTAGCAACTTTCCAGCAAGCAGGTAGTTAGTCATTGCAGGCCTTAATATTATACTGGTGTTTTCAAAATTATTAACTCCAACCACTCATCCTTCCATTCTTCCATTCATTCCCATATATCATATTAAATTCATATTTGTCAAATCTGCACATTGAATTTATTGTGACACCTGCATGGGAAACTGGAGGTGACACAGGAGCTCACCCCATCTCGCAGATTCGAGTCACCAACCTTCAGGTCAGCACTTTTTATTATTTATTTATTATTTAAACTTATATGCCGCCACTCCCCTGGGGCTCGGAGCGGCTTACAAGAATAGCTAAAATCTAACAAAATTTAAAAGCAATTTAAAACAATTTAAAAACAACACAGCCAGCACAAGGCTTTAACCCATTGTGCCACCATGGCGCCTGCTTTGGGTTAGTTGATTTTGTGTGGTTTTTATTCCTGGCATAGAATCATAGAATCAAAGAGTTGGAAGAGACCTCATGGGCCATCCAGTCCAACCCCAACCCCATTCTGCCAATATTGCATTCAAATCACCCCTGACAGATGGCCATCCAGCCTCTGTTTAAAAACTTCCAAAGAAGGAGCCTCCACCACACTCCGGGGCAGAGAGTTCCACTGCTGAACGGCTCTCACAGTCAGGAAGTTCTTCCTCATGTTCAGATGGAATCTCCTTTCTTGTAGTTTGAAGCCATTGTTCCATTGCATCCTAGTCTCCAGGGAAGCAGAAAACAAGCTTGCTCCCTCTTCCTCCCTGTGGCTTCCTCTCACATATTTATACATGGCTATCATATCCCCTCTCAGCCTTCTCTTCTTCAGGCTAAACATGCCCAGCTCCTTAAGCCGCTCCTGGTATCCAACTTCCAACTGCTAACTATCAGATACCTTCGAGAATCCTATGCTCCAGCCCACTGGAATTCAGAGATGCATAGCTCTGTACGAGGAGTCTCCAGTTGGATACCAGGAGCGGCTTAATGAGCTGGGCATGTTTAGCCTGAAGAAGAATGTTTGGCTTCGTGAAGAGAGAGAGAGAGTAAGGGAGGGAGGCTGGAATGATGACAGGATGAAGAAGAAAAGTGTGCTTCTGGCTCTTTGTGCTTCCTTGCCACAACTTTGTGCTTCTACCATTTCAACTTGATCTTTCTTTATTATTGTTCCATGTGAATATGCTTTTATACATTACTTGTTATTTATAAAGTACATTTTATTATTTCAAAACATGTAACAAAAAAATCGGTGTTGGGATTTTAGGGGGCTGGAACGGATTAATAGCATTTCAAGGGGAACATTCGCTTTGCGAAAATTGCGATTTGAGCTCTTGCTCACGGAACAAATTAAACTCTGAGCTGAAGGTATCACTGTATATGGCTGTCCTTCCCAGTTTATTAGCCATCCCTCCCAATTGGGTATCATCTACAAAACTGAACATCATGCCACCTATCCCATCATCCAAGTTGACTAGCCTTGAACGATGCAAGAAAGACCCCTGTGGCACCCAAATAGTCACTTATCTCCAGGAGGGAGAAAAGGGAGCCACTGATAAACACCCTTTTGGTTCAGCCAGTTAACTCAAGCATGGGCATTTGTGGGAGTTGAAAGCCAAAACACCTGGAGGGTCCAAGTTGGCCCATTCCTGAGTTGACCGGTTCCCAATCTGCCTCACAGTAACATTGTCTAGTCCAGAATTTATTAGCTTTTTGTTAGAATACTGGAAGGATGCATAGGTAGCCATTAATAGACAAATGAATCAAATATATGTAAGTAATTGGAGCCTCCTCGTATAGAGCTATGTATCTCTGAATTCCAGTGGTCTGGAGCATAGGATTCTTGAAGGCATCTGATATTTAGCAGTTGGAAGTTGGATACCAGACTTTGGTCTGATACAGCAGACTTAAGAAGGCTGAGAGGAGATATGATAGCCATGTATAAATATGTGAGAGGAAGGCACAGGGAGGAGGGAGCAAGCTTGTTTTCTGCTTCCTTGGAGACTAGGACGCAATGGAACAATGGCTTCAAACTACAAGAGAGGAGATTCCATCTGAACACGAGGAAGAACTTCCTGACTGTGAGAGCCGTTCAGCAGTGGAACTCTCTGCCCCGGAGTGTGGTGGAGGCTCCTTCTTTGGAAGCTTTTAAATAGAGGCTGGATGGCCATCTGTCAGGGGTGATTTGAATGCAATATTCCTGCTTCTTGGCAGAATGGGGTTGGACTGGATGGCCCATGAGGTCTCTTCCAACTCTTGGATTCTATGATTCTAAGAGAGACCCCTTCCTCATCTGCGTCAGTTCTACTTTCCTGTCTTTCATGATGAAATCTCCAGACATATAAATGCTGAAATGAGGCAGGGCCGTGTATTTCTGCATATTTGCTTCCTATGTTTGCTTAGCCATAATTAGGAATGCAAAATATATTACGCTTTTCTGGATGAAAGTGATATTGTTGAGTGCAAGACTCAGCATCGGCTCTGAAAGCCAGAAATATCCCAGGTCAGTCAGAGAGCGAGAGGATCATGTTTCAGGTCCGTCGTTCTGGCAGAAGTTGTGCTCTTGCAGCTTTCATTGCAATAGTCTGATGGCTCCTTCCTATAACCAAACCCTTGTTGCTTTTGGTCTCACAGCTGAGTGTGCGACATGACACATCTCCATTAGACAGTTTGCATTGAGAACTAGGTGCCTCATATATTATTTCTTTTAGTATTACTCCAGAGTTGTAGTCCAGTTCTCCTGGCACCACCACAACAGCAATAATTCTACAGTGTAGACTAAGCATGGGAAAACTTTGGTTCTCCCGGTGTTTTGGACTTCAACTCCCACAGTTCCTAACAATTTGTTAGGAATTGTGTGGGAAGTCTGCCCCAATTCTATCGTTGGTGGGGTTCAGAATGCCCTTTGATTGTAGTTGAACTATAAATCCCAGCAACTACAATTCCCAAATGAATGTAATTTTCATGCTTCTTGGCAGGTGGTTGGACTGGATGGCCCATGAGGTCTCTTCCAACTCTATGATTCTATGATTCTCTTCTGCAGGCTAAGTATGCCCAGCTCTTTAAGCCGCTCCTCATAGGCCTTGTTCTCCAAACCCTTGATCCTTTGAGTCACCCTCCTCTGGACACATGCCAGCTTAGAGTCAATATCTCTCTTCAATTGTGGTGCCCAGAACTGGACACAGTGTGATTCCAGGTGTGGTCTGACCAAGGCAGAAGAGAGAATGGGGAGCATGACTTCCCTAGATCAATTTATTTATTTATATGCTTATTTATTTATTGTATTTGAATGTGGCCCTGCCCAGTGAAATCCTTTGTTTTTAATTGTTTGTTTTTATACTGTTGTTTGCTTATTATATTTATTTTTGCATTTTATGTATTTTATTTCCTGGTATTGTTACGTTTTTGTATTATAATGTGTGTACTGTACTGATGGGCTTGGCCTCATGTAAGCCGCACCGAGTCCCCCTGGGGGAGATGGAGTGGGGTATAAATAAAGTTTTTTATTATTATTACTAGCCGTCCCCTGCCACGCGTTTCTGTGGCCCACTCTGGTGGTCATGGGGGTTCTGTGTGGGAAGTTTGGCCCAATTCTATTGTTGGTGGGATTCAGAATGTTCTGTGATTCTAGGTGAACTATAAATCCCAGCAACTGCAACTCCCAAATGTCAAGATTCTATTTTCCCCAAACTCCACCAGTGTTCACATTTGGGCATATTGAGTATTCGTGTAGAGTTTGGTCCAGATCCATCATTGTTTGTGTCCACAGTGTTTTCTGGATGTAGGTGAACTACAACTCCTAAACTCAACATCAATGCCCACCAAACCCTTCTAGTATTTTCTGTTAGTCATGGGAGTCCTGTGTGCCAAGTTTGATTCAATTCCATCATTGGTTGAGTTCAGAATGTTCTTTGATTGCAGGTGAACTATAAATCCCAGCAACTACAACTCCCAAATGACAAAAGCAATTTTTTTGAGTGAAGGACATACATTGGGTTGTTAGACGTCTTGTGTCCAAATTTGGTGTCAATTCGTCCAGTGGTTTTTGAGTTCTGTTAATCCCACAAACGAACATTACATTTTTATTTATATAGATTATTATTTATTTACCCTGTTCTCCCCTTTTTTCTCAGCACCGCCCCCCAAGTGATGGGCTCAGGCTCTCTGGCGCAGCAGGCCGAGAACGAAGCCAAAGCCAGCTCCTCCATCACCATTGACGAGTCTGAGCCCACCACCAACATTCAGATCCGACTTGCTGATGGTGGGCGTCTTGTGCAGAAATTCAACCACAGTCACAGGTAAGTGGAACAGGTCAAAAGCTTGGTGCTGTTTTCAGTATATTTATTTCCAAGGGATGTCTTTCCTATCGGTTTGGAGTCTGGACTCGGCTAAATGCTCACGCCTCTTTCCTTTTCCTGGGCAGGATCCGTGATGTCCGGCTCTTCATCGCGGACGCCAGGCCGGCGATGGCCGCCACCAGCTTTGTCCTCATGACCACGTTCCCGAACAAAGAGCTCTCAGACGAGGACCTGACTCTGAAGGAAGCCAACCTCCTCAACGCCGTCATTGTCCAACGGTTAATATAAGGGGACCCTCCTCTCCGCCCACGCGTATCATAGCCCCCCGCGTGAGGCCCAGCGGGGATCCGTGGCGTCACGGTCGGGTCGTAGCACTGGGTTCGAAGCTCTTGGGTTGGACTCTTTAGTTGCGTTTCCCATGGTTTTTTGTTTTCTTTTTTTTTCTTTTGTGCTGATCCATGGACTTTAAAAACAAACAAAAAAGGCAAATTAAACCAAACACAGACTTTTTGCAACGAGGAGGGTCCTCGGCCAGGTACCTTCTTTCACAGACGGCCGTGTTGCTGTCCTCAAGGAGTGGCAAAAGGGTGAAGGATGCGTCACGGCCTTCCTCCTCTTCCTCCTCCAAGGGCAGCCACAAAATTATCCCCCCTCTTTGATGTATTAAATAAAGCGAACCCCTAAACTGGGACCTCTCTTCTCTGTTGCTCACCGAATACTGTGAGGTGCTTCATTTTGGGCTTGATTTATTTTATTTATTTATTAACTTTATTTGTACCCCGCTACCTTACTTACTTACTTACTTACTTACTTACTTACTTACTTTTACTTACTTACTTACTTACTTACTTACTTAGGCGATCCCTCGTTGGACGAGTAAGATGGTCTTCCTTGATGACTATTTTTGTGGGTTTGTAGGTGGCTGTGGAGCCCTATTCTTGACCCACATCTTCTCCCACAGTGAAGGCATTGGTTTCCAGGTGGAAGGCGGTCCCGGTCGGGGTTGGCTTGACGCGCCTTCCTCCTGGCACGTTTCTCTCTTTCACCCTCCACTCGTGCCTCCTCGAATTCTGCAGCACTGCTGGTCACAGCTGACCTCCAGCTGGAGCAGTCAACGGCCAGGGCTTCCCAGTTCTCAGTGTCTATGCCAGAGTTTTTAAGGTTGGCTTCTCCCCAAGGGACTCGGTACGGCTTACATGAGGCCGAGCCCAAACAACAACAATACAAGCAATAAAACAACAATACAAGCAATTAAAAAACATAGACAATAAGATAAACAACATTATCAATAAAATAACACACAATTAAAAACAGAGGGGTAGGCCAAATGTAAAGTTAAAATTGGAAATATGCTGGGACATGGACGGAAGGTGATACTGGTGTTTGTGACAGGGCATACGAGCAGACTTAGAAAATGTAAAGTGCTTTGGAGGACAAAGTGCTATGGGATCATTATTCCGGGAAGGCACACTGGAACAGCCACGTCTTCAAGTTCCTCCTGAAGACTGCCAGAGTTGGAGCCTGTCTGATGTCTTTAGGGAGTGAGTTCCAGAGTCGAGGGGCCACCACCGAAAAGGCCCTCTCTCTCGTCCCCACCAATCACGCCTGCGATGCTGGTGGGATCGAGAGCAGGGTCTCCCTGGATGATCAAAGAGATCGTGCGAGTTCGTATACAGAGATGCGGTCATGCAGGTAGGCGGGTCCCAAACCGTTCAGGGCTTTGTAGGTAAGAACCTGCACCTTGAATTGGGTCCTGTAGATGAAAGGCAGCCAGTGGAGCTCCTTAAACAGGAGGGATGACCTCTCTCTGTAAGGGGCCCCGGTTAACAACCTGGCTGCTGCCCGTTGCATCATCTGAAATTTCCGGGCCGTTTTCAAGGGCAGCCCCACGTAGAGTGCATTGCAGTAATCCAATCTAGAGGTGACTATGGCGTGGACCACCTTGGCCAGATACACCTTCCTGAGGTTGCAGTTGGTGCACGAGTCTTAATTGTGCAAAGGCCCTCCTGGCCACCACCGACGCCTGAGCCTCAAATGTAAGTGAGGAATCCAGGAGGACCCCCATAAATAAATGTACAGCAGAGTAACTTATTGGCAACAGCGTGACCCAGCACCAGTAGCACACAGCGATAGAAAGAACAAAAACACATAGACCAATGGTATCTCATCCATAGGAGCGTTTTCTTTATAGCTGCTTCGCGGTTTATTTACCGCGGACTCGCTGTTTCGTGGTTTTCCCTGCACCAGCACAGCCACCCTCCTCACCTTCCCTCCATCCCTCCCTCCTAGCCTTTCTTCCTCCGCCATGGTGCCAGAGGGACCTTACTTCTTTCACCATTGTGCCAGAGGGGGCTTCTTCCCAGCAGCCCCTTTGGCGGCAGGAAAAGTTCCCACTAGTGGAGTAGCCAGCCAATGGGAGGTGGACCCTGCTCTCCCTCGATTGTCTGGGCTTTGGAAGGCCACACCAGGCAGTGTGCCTTCCCTCGGTGGCGAACTTGGCGGTGGCGGCAGCAGCAGGGACGCGACAGCACTGGTATTTATTTATTTATCGTGTCATCAGCAACCATACTGTTGTATTACATTTCTAACAGAACAAAACAAACGATTTTGAACAAATGCTTGTTGAAAAGGTGGATTTGTTCATCTATCAGGAAATCATTTTGGCCAATCACTTCAATAATAATATAATATAATATAATATATGGAGCTCCGCTGGTGCAGTGGGTTAAACCGCTGAGCTGCTGAACTTGCTGACCGAAAGGTCTGGTTAAAAAAAACCTGAGAGTCACCAGCCACAATATAATATAATAATATAATATAATATAATATATGGAGCCCCCACTGGTGCAGTGGGTTAAACCGCTGAGCTGCTGAACTTGCTGACCGAAAGGTCTCGTTCAAAAAAACTAAGGATCACCAGCCACAATATAATATAATGTAATGTAATATAATATAATATAATATAATATAATATAATATAATATAATATAATTAATATAAGGAGCCCCAACTGGTACAGTGGGTTAAACTGCTGAGCTGCAGAACTTGCTGACCACAAGTATATAATATAATAATATAATATTATATACTTGCTGACCACAAGTATATAATATAATATAATATAATATAATATAATATAATATAATATAAGGAGCCCCCGCTGGTGGAGCGGGTTAAACTGCTGAGCTACTGAACTTGCTGACCAAAAGGTCAGTGGTTTGAAAAGACTGAGCATCACCGGCCATAATATAATATAATATAATATAATATAATATAAGGAGCCGCCGGTGATGCAGCAGGTTAAACTGCTGAGCTGCTGAAACTTGCTGACCAAAAGGTCAGTGGTTTGAAAAAACTGGGGATCACCAGCCACAATATAATATGATATAATATAATATAATATAATATAATATAATATAAAGAGCCCCCGGTGGTGCAGCGGGTTAAACTGCTGAGCTGCTGAACTTGCTGACCAAAGGTCAGTGGTTTCAAAAAAACTGGATCACCAGCCACAATATAATATAGTATAGTATAATATAATATAATATAATATAATATAATATAAGGAGCCGCCGGTGGTGCAGCGGGTTAAACTGCTGAACTGCTGAAATTGCTGACCAAAAGGTCAGTGGTTTGAAAAAACTGTGGATCACCAGCCACAATATAATATAGTATAATATAATATAATATAATATCATAATATAATATAATATAATACAATATATAGAACCCCTGGTGGTGCAGTGGGTTAAACCGCTGAGCGGCTGAACTTGTTCACTGAAAGGTCATTGGTTTGAATCCAGGGAGTGGGGTGAGCTCCTGCTGTTAGCCCCAGCTTCTGCCAACCTAGCAGTTCAAAAACATGCAAATGTGAGTAGATCAATAGGTACCGCTTTGCGGGAAAGTAATGGCGCTCCATGCAGTCATGCCAGCCACATAGCCTTGGAGGTGTTTACAGACAACGCCGGCTCTTCGACTTAGAAATGGAGATGAGTACCACCCCCCACTTACTTACTTAGTTACTTAGGCGATCCGTCATTGGCCGAGTAGGATAGTCTTCCAGGATCAGTATTCTGGTGAGTCCGTAGGTGACTGTGGAGCCCTGTTCTTGATCTGCATCTTCTCCCACAGTGAGGGCATCGGTTTCCAGGTGGAAGGCAGTCTCGGTCAGGGTTGGCTTGATGTGCCTTCCTCTTGGCACGTTTCTCTCTTTCACCCTCCATTCGTGCCTCTTCAAATTCTGCAGCACTGCTGGTCACAGCCGACCTCCAGCTGGAGCGCTCAAGGGCCAGGGCTTCCCAGTTCTCAGTGTCTATGCCAGAGTTTTTAAGGTTCTTGTGGGTTTTTTCGGGCTATAGGGCCATGTTCTAGAGGCATTTCTCCTGACGTTTCGCCTGCATCTATGGCAAGCATCCTTAGAGGTAGTGAGGTCTGTTGGAATTAGGACAATGGGTTTATATATCTGTGGAATGGCTGGGGTGGGGCAAGGAGCTCTTCCCTGCTGCAGTTAGGTGTGAATGTTTAGCTGATCACCTTCATTAGCATTTGAAGGCCTGCCTGAGCCTGGGAAAATCTGTTGCTGGGAGGTGTTAATCTTTGGAGGGCTTTGGGGGTCTCTTCCAACTATTCCACAGGTATATGAACCCTTTTTCCTACTTCCAACAGACCTCAGTACCTCTGAGGATGCTTGCCATAGATGCAGGCAAAACGTCAGGAGAAAATGCCTCTAGAACATGGTCATATAGCCCGAAAAAACCTACAACAACCCAGTGATTCCACCCATGAAAGCCTTCAACAATACAATAATAATGCCCTTTTTTGCTTGCTATATCCACACTCTGCCTCTGGGTGGCACTGTTGCACCTGAACTTCACTTTGATGCAGGTGAGCTGCCAGGTTTCCTCCAGAAAAGCAGCAAATATTTTGGCTTTGTAGATGCTCTTTCTTGACCTAGGAAGTGTTTCCCTATTTGATTGACCCCCCTTTCCCTGGCCATGCTCTCCCTCTTCTGTCTCAAAATCTTAGATAACATTGGATTACGGAGATGCGCTATTAATTACCTTATTGATTGATGGTATGAAAGAGAACAAAGTTGGTAAAGAAAGAGCCACATTCTGTACTCGATCCTTCCAAGCTGAAAAGGTTCAAAAATCCACAAGTAGGGATGGCATTTTTGTTTGTATTTGCATAGAAGTTGGCATCTTGTGTTTATATTTGCTCAGGATGAATAGTGCAAGTTTGCAAGCCGCTGGTTTCTAAAGTTTCCAAGGAGAGATTACACCATTGTAGCTAATGGGTAAAAACATTGCGGCAGTCCCTGGGAAAATACAGCACTAATTTGCTACTGTTTTAAACCACAGAGAAGGGGCATCTACACTACAGAATTGATGTAGGTTAGCACTACTTTAACTGCCATGGATCACTGCTGTGTTCTATTTCTTCAGTATATTATTTTGCAACTGTTTATTTTTATTTTGTTACTTTATGTATTTTATTGTGATGTAATTTTTCATTGCTTTGTATCTTTTCTTGTTACGTTGTATTTTCAGGCTTAGCCTCATGTTAGCCGCCCCGAGTCCCGTTTGAGGGAGATGGTGGCGGGGTATAAATAAAGATGATTATTATTATTATTATTATTATTATTATTATTATTATAGAATCATAGAATCATAGAATCAAAGAGTTGGAAGA